GAGAGAAGGAAGAGACTTCTCACTTCGATGAGAATTCTGATATTCTTTTGGGCTGTAGCTACATGCACTGCTTGTGCTTCCACTATAGGACCGCCAGGTATTGTTCCAAGGCTGCTTACTCCAGATGTTCCAAAAGCCCAGCCTACAATTCCAGGTCAGTTTGGCAATGCTAGTTAAACTGCAGATCTACTTATTTTTTTTAATAAGAAAAACAGTAATACCAATTGATAAGGTTGCTAAAATAGCTGTTCTTAGAAAATTTCCACAAATCCATCAGCTGAAATTTTTTGACTTAAATCATGTAATTTAGCCTATTCTTAATCACTTTTCAAAAAATCTTGTGTGTTTTTATTTTTTGGCAGTTTTTTGCCAGATGAAAACAAGGAAACTGTCGCAGCACAACAGTTAAGATTTAGATAAAGCTGCGCTGCCGGACCAACACGAGGAACAAAGCGGTCCTAGATAAGAGTTGAGAAGGAGGAAGGAAAGGAGGAAAAAGCGGAAGAAAAAACAAAAAAGTCGTAGAATTTGAGGTGCTTTTGATTATTAGTGGCGCATTTTTGGAAGAAAATTCAATTCACCTTGCAGGATATGGTATTGGTGACGACGTCGACGAGGACACTGAGGACAGTGAAGCTGGTGGGGTACAATGGGAATGTGGTACCGAAAGTCTAACAAAACTAATCAGCGAGGCAACTGTCGACAGGGACTGTCCACAGCTGAAAAGTCTGTTAATACTCTCGTAATGTGCATTTTCACAGAGCTGCGGAACGTGAAAAAGCCTGCAGACGAGTCGGACAGGCCTTGAATGCCGGGATGTTCTGGATTTGACGGTTTTTGCAGTGACGTTCGGATGTAAATAAAATACTGTATACGAGGTCCAATGTACCACTGCTCGTAACGGATATAATGAACCTAAATCTGGGCTCATATCCCTTGCACTAGCACTGCTGTCGTGCAGTAGGTCGATGGTTAGACTCTGCCGGTGGGACAATCAGTTTTACTGTCATTCGTTCATTCTTTTCGATGTTAAATTAGTATTGGCATATGCCAGAGAAACGAACGTGCCATCAGTTCGTTTATGAGCAGTCCTCGAAAGAGGGAATCGTAGACA